GCCCCCCCCATTTAAATATCTGCAAGTTTATCTGCCCCCAGTAGTTGGAGTCCTTTCTCCAATGTTTGTTTTACTGATTGGCATATTAATAGCCGCTGGGGGTGTACGTACACCCGACTGTTGGCCTGCTGCTGCTGCTGTTGCTGCTGTTGCTGCTGGGTCTGTTCTTGTTGTTGCTGCCGAGGCTGCTGCCCTTCCGATGTGGGTGCAGCAACACGACGGCTGCAGTTCCTGCTGCCGTTACTGCTGCTGCTACTGCTGCTGCTGCTGCTGCAGATAACGTGGTAGGCTTCATAGAAGCTATTAAAGGAGTTAGCTAAATCAAGAAGGAAAGAAACAAGTAAAGAAGGATCCAAGCAAGCAGCACTGCGGTGTACGTACACCCCAAAACTTGCTGCTTTTGCTGCTAATCTTCTCTCCGCTGTAGACAGCGCGTAGGGGGCCCTCTTCAGGGGTTCCTTGGGGGCCCCCATGGGGGTCCCTAACTCGGAATGTTGTTGGGTAAGATACTCTGAGGAGAGAGAGCAGATGAAGACGAAGGCAAAGAAAGTCTTGTTCCTCTACATGCAGCAGCAACAGCAGCAGCAACAGCAGCAGCAACAGCAGCAGCAACAGCTGCAGGGGGGCAGGCAAGGCTGGGGAAATACCTTTAGCTTTAGTGCATATTGCAGAGGCTCGCCGAAGGGCATAAAGAGCAGCAAAAGCAGAGAACGTTGGGGGCCCATCGGGGGCCCCACACCTCTGGGGGGCCTCCACATTAAACCCTAATGACCACAAGCGCAGAAGGGTTCCCGCTGCAGCAGCAGCAGCACAGAAAAGAACAGACACAAAGCATTGCTCAACAGCATATAAGAAGCAAAGGCAGCAGCAGCAACAGCAGCAGCAGCAACAACAGCAGCAACAAGAATGTACTTATGCCTTCTGCCCTTTGCCTTATTTCCGCCTCTGAGAGATTCGGCTGTCTTCGTCTTAACTCAGCCTCTGCAAATCACACAAACCCCAAGCCCTTAACCCCAAACCCTAAACCCTCGAAAATATTCTTCGTGCGTTGATGGCCGCCGAGATATCGACAGAAGCCTACTGGAAAACCCTAAACCCTTGACCCCTACTAAGCACTAAATCCTAAACCCTGGCCACTCCTAACCTTCCACCGTAGAGACCTTAAACCCGAAACCCTAAACCCTACCTGCAACCTGCAGCATCTCCTCAATGCGGTCTGTGAGGCTGTTTGCCGCTGTTCTTGAGGAAAGCTTTTCCCCTGTGGGGCCCTTCACCAGCCCGACACCTATATGCTGTACATATACCGCAGGTCGCACCTGCCGCTGCTGCTGCTGCTGCTGCTGCTGCTGCTGCAGGTGCTGCATAAGAGGGTTTTTCCTTGCATTTACTTCAATTAGGGTTTTATCTTTTAGTATATTTTTGCCAATGGCAAACAAACGCTTAAAATGCGATGCTTGCTGCTCGTCCGTCACCAGCAGGACCCAGTCATTGCCCCTTTCCACCCTGCTCACAAACCCTAAACCCTAAACCCTAAACCCTAAATTCTAATCTGTGGGCCGAGAAGCTTTCGTTCGTCTAACAGCAAACGACCTCTCTGGTGGTCTACGACCAAGGGTTTAGGGTTTAGGGTTTAGCTTGTGTGCATAGGTAGAAGCTTAGGGTTTAGGGCTTACCTAGATTTAAGCGCAGCAAGGTCTGTGGCAATGTATGTGTATGTCCCCCCTTGTCTTCGGATGGCTACTGAATCAAGTTGTTGTTGTTGCTGCTGCTGCTGGTGCTGCTGTTGCTCATGCGGGATCTCCTCTTTTGTCTGTGGGAATCGAACATTTAACGGGCTCGTGTTGCTGCTGCTGCTGCTGCTGCTGCTGATGGTGCTGCTGCTGCTGCTTGTTTCAGATGGCAGCAGCATGTCCTTCTCCTTTAAAACATCTATTAGCTGCTGCATGTGCTGCAGCTGCTGCTGCTCCCCATCTGCTGCTTGAGGAGACAAACGTAATAGCCGCAGCTGGCGAGCGAACCTCTGCAGCAGCAGCAAAAGCATCAGTAGCAGCAACAACAACATATGCGGCAATAGCAGCAACAGCAGCATATGCAGCAGCAGCAGCAGCATGGCGGAAACAAAAGAAGAAGCAGCACACAGAGAAGGAAAAGACGGACAAAAACAAGAAAAATAATTACATTAATTAATTAATTAATCTTTTTTTTATTTTCTAACTAATAAATAGATAAATAAATAAAGTAGATAAAAGGAGACAAAAAGGAGACTAACATTGATGGATAGTTGTTTGATTTCTTTGCTGCTGTTAATTATATTTAAATCTCCTCTAGCAGCAGCAGCAGCAGATAAACAGCAAAGAGCAGCAGCAGCAAAACCCTCTATTGAGGTGTATAGACGCCGGCATATCTGCACGCATGCAATCACACACAAACTGTTGCTGCTGCTGCTGCTGCAGGTAGTGCTGCAGCAGATAGTGCTGCAGCAGCTGTCGTTGCTTTTCCTGCTGTTGCTGCTGCTGCCCTTGGTGCGATGTCTACAAGTGATGCTGTTACTGCTGCTACTTTTGCTGCAGCTACTGATGCTGCTGCTACTGCTACTGCTGCTGCTGCTGCACTGCATGCAGCCCTACCGCATAAGCTTCCGTAAGATTAAGTTTTGTTTGTGGTTCTTTTCGTTTTGCAAGTTGCTGCCAGTCAATAATATTGTTTGCTGCTGCTTCGCTCTTGCCTCCCTGCTGCTGCTGCTTCTCCTCTTGCTGCTTCTGCTGCTGCTGCTGCTCTTCAAGCGCTGCCTCCAAAGCGGCCATATGCGACATGAAGGCCTCTACGTCTGCGTCACTGATATGGTTGTCTGGTGCTGCTGCTCCTGCTGCTCCTGCTGCTCCTGCTGCTGCTACCCCTGCTGCTCCTGCTGCTGCTCCTTCTCTTGGGCGAAGCACAGGTCTGTACTCAGGAGGAGTATCTGCAACAACAGCATCTGCTGCAGCAAGCAACAACTCTACAGGAGACATCTGACCCCCGTCTCCTCCATTGCTGCTGCTGCTGCTCCCGCTGCTGCTGCTGCTGAGCTGCTTCATTTTCTTGTACACTTGAAGGCCTCCTAGGCAAACAGCCGAGGGGATGCCGCAGTCACCAAAATAACAGCTGCGGTGTACGCGGAGTCCAATAAACTCCAACAGCCTAAATGCATGCGCAGCAGCAGGAGCGCAAGTAGAGTCAATAGCCACAGGAGCAGGAGCAGCTGCTGCTGCTGCAGCAGATGCTGCAGAAGCAGCACTTGCTTACAGGCAATATGGCAACAATCCCTCACAACCCCTCATCTGACTTTAGGGTTTAGGGTTTGGGGTTTAGGGTGTAGGGTTTGTACCTTGCTAGAGAGTCACCAACAAGGGCCCCTCTGAGGTGTCCAACGTGAAGATCTTTGCCAACATTAGGAGAGAAATAATCAATCAACAGCTGCATGCGATCCAGCCCCAATACCTGCAGCAGCAGCAGCAGAAGCAGAAGCAGCAACGGCAGCAACGATAACAGCAACGGGAACAGCAACAGCAACAGCAACAGCAGCAAGGACAGCAACAGCAACAACAGCAGCAGTAGACTATTGAATAATTACAGGGGGTAGGCCTAGGCGGTCTGGATCTTGTGTCTGCTGCTGCAGCAGTTGCAGCAACAAATCGTCTCGAAGTCGGAAACTTATAAAGCTGCAGCAGCAACAGCAGCAGCAGCAGAAGCAGATGCAGCAACAGTAAAGCCAAGACAGTGCGTGGGAATGCAAATGATGCAAACAGAAGCAGCAACAACAGCAGCAGTAGCAACAGCAGCAACAGCAGCAGCAGCAGCACAGTATATACCCTTTTCCTGTATATTCTGCTGCAGAGCAAATTTCTTTAAGGAGCGAACTTTCTTTCATCAAGGATGCAACAAACTCAGCACCATCACGTAAACCCTCATCTGCTGCTGCTGCTGCTGCTGCTGCTGCTGTCCTGCTTGCACGTGCTTCTGATATTGTTGCTTCACTGGGGAGTTGTATTGAGTTTTCAGGCTGCTGCTGTTGCTTCTCTTGTTGCTGCCGCCGCTGCCGTTGCTGCTGCTGCTGCTGCTTCAGCAATGCGGCGATGTTGGCCTGCAGCTCATATCCCTCAACTGCGGGGCTTGCCGGGGTTACGCGGATCTGCAGCAGCAGGACAAACCCTAAACCCTCATATCCAACTCCTGAACCCTAAACCCTAAGCTCGGAACCCTCAAGAAAAACGCAAGGACTACCTATGGAATAGCTCTGTGGTTTAGGGTTTAGGGTTTAGGGTTTTGTACCTTGAGGTCTTCGCAGCAAATGCCTGCCTTCCTTGCATGCGTCCGCACCTCCTCCTCTATCAGTAAGCAGACATCCTGAAGTGTGCTACTATTGCTGCTGCTGTTGCTGCTGCTGCTATTGATGGAGCTAGCGCTGCTCCGCCAGGTGCTGCTGCTGCTGCTGCTGTTACTGCTGCAGCTGTTTAGGGGGAGCAGCATACTGCTGCTGCAGCGTGCAGGTGGCCCCTCAACACGCATAGGGTGCGGGAGGGGGAACTGCCGCCGCTCCCGCTGCACCAGCTGCTGCTGCTGCTGCTGTTGCTGCTGCTGATGCTGGAGGCGGAGGCCCTGGTGTATATACAGCGGAGATTGTATTTCTCTTGCAGGGGAAATAAAAGTTAGAGAAGATATCTTATGAGGCCCCTGACCTACAAAGATTGCTGCTGCTGTAGTTATTGCTGCTGCTGCTGCTACTGCTGCCTGCAGCAGCAGGACGAACAGCAGCGGGAGATGCTGCAGCATCGGGCTATATGTCTGCTGCCTTTTCTTCTGCTGATGCTGCTGTCGCTGCAGCAGCAGCAGCAGCACAATCGGTGCGGCCAACGGCGGCAGCAACAGCAGCGACAGCAACAGCAGCAGAAGCAGCATGTGCTGCGGATGCTCCCTAGTAGACTCCTTTAGCGGTGGCAGCAGCAGAATCGAAGGGATTCTGCGTGATGTACACGTCGCCTCTGCTGCTGCTGCTGCTGCTGTTCTTACACCTGCTGCAGCAGTTGCGCTTGCTGCTGCACTAGCTGCTGCTGCTGCTGCAGCGCCCTTCTGTGGGAGAGCCTTCATCATTTGACCAGCTGTTGCTCCCCTTACAAATTCCCTGTGGTCTTGGGGGCCCCCTGGGGGGGGCCCCTGTGGGTTGCAGTGTGCAGGGAAAACACAGCTATCTATAGCTGCTGTTGCTGTTTTTGTCGTTTTTCTTGCTGCATTTGTTGCTGCGTTGCTGCTGAATCCATGTGTACAAACAATGGAGGGACTAGGTGTTGAGGGTTTAGGGACTCAGCCTGGAAGACCAGAGGGGGGCCCTAGGAGAGGTGGGCTCACACCCTCAACCCTAAACCCTAAACCCTTGAAATTCGTATTTAAAACAAAATTTATTAAAGTTTAATACGGTTATTTTGGGTTAGGTGTTTCAAACCCTAAACCCGAAACCCTAAACCCTAAACCGGCAAGACACCAGCAGCGGATCGAGAGCTAACTGAGCGTCCTAGGGTTTAGGGTTTGCGGTTAGGGACTATATACCTGTGCGCCGAGTGCCTTGGCAGAGAAAAATTAGGGTTTAACGCTAAACACTTCTAATAAAAGTCCGTCTTCTAACTCTAAACCCTAAACCCTAAACCCTAAACTCGATCCTTGGCGGATTCACTGGTGGCCCGACGCGAGCTCAGCTCTCAGCACTAAACACTAAACCCTAACCCTAAACCCTCGACTGATAGTTTTAGTTTGGCTGTCGTAGGGCCCCCAAAGGAAGCCCATAAGGAGTCTCCTGCTACTGTTCGGGTGTACAGGCAGCTGCTCTTTTGCTGCTGTCCTTGTGTATCTACTACCAGCAACACGAAGAGCAGCAGCAACAACAGCAGTGGCAGCAGCAACTGCAACAAGTCCAGCAGCAGGGAGACGACTGCAGCAACGCCTTCGTGTTAGCGTGTGTAGTTACAAATCGGCTAAGCCCTGTTTCTGTTGCTCCTGCTGCTGCTGCTGCTCCTGCTGCTGATGCTTCAGCCCCGCAGCTTCTTCTGTGCGATCTTTTCCCTGCTGCTCGCATGGCTCCCGCTGCTGCTGCTGCCAAGGTTGCTGCTGCTGCTGCCATTGTGGTGACTGCTGCTGTTGCTGCTGCTGCCATGGTAGCTGAGGGTATGCCTGCTGGGTGCTCCTCCTTCTGTTTTGCTGTAGCCACTGTGGCGCCGGTTGCTTCGGCTGCCACTGTCGCTGCTGCTGCTGCTGCTGCCATTGTGGAGGCTGCTGCCATTGTGGAGGCTGCTGCTGCTGCTGCTGCCACTGTGGCGGCGGGGGCTGCTGCCACTGTGGTGACTGCTGCTGTTGCCACTGCGGTGGCTGCTGCCACTGTGGTGGCTGCTGCTGCTGTTGCTGCCATTGTGGTGGCTGCTGCTGCTGCCACTGTGGTGGCTGTTGCTGCTGTTGCCACTGTGGTGGCTGCTGCTGTTGCTGCCACTGTGGTGGCTGCTGCTGTTGCTGCTGCCACTGTGGTGGCTGCTGCTGCTGCCATTGTGGTGGCTGCTGCTGCCA